CTCCAGAAAAGTCCATTCTTAGAAGTGGATTTAAATCTAACCATGACATTATTGTTATCAGAATTTTCCTTTGACAGAAGACAAATGTGTTTTTCCTCCTCTTTCTCCTTCTGTTTAGTGAACTAAGTTCATAATTAGTGTCTGGGAAGCTTCCTTCTTTGACCGCCTCCTGCTTGTTCCCCATGAGAGCTATATGACCTGATCCTCTGGTTTCTTTGGGCCAAATTTTGTTCGTGTACTACTAAATGACAACTAAATGCTTCCAGAAGATGCCTTGGGGCCTTATTACAAATGAAATGACAGTAAATCATTTAGCAAATAGTAAAATGAGACCACAAAATAAAACCTTTTTGATCCTTTGACCTTGTGTCACTGACTTAAAAGGCCTCCTTCTAATTTCCTAAGCACTGTAGACACAGAGGTAAGAACATTTGAATCCCTCTTGCATTTCAAGTGAATAAATTGCTTTATTCTTTTTTTCCCTCTTTCTATCCTCTGTAGCTTAGAACAGCGAAATTTGTCTTTGGAAACAGAAATGATGAGTCTCCATGATGAACTGGATCAAGAGAGGAAAAAGTTCACAATGATAGAAATCAAAATGCGAAATGCTGAGCGTGCAAAAGAAGATGCCGAGAAAAGAAATGACATGCTACAGAAGGAAATGGAGCAGTTTTTTTCCACCTTTGGAGAGCTGACAGTGGAACCCAGGAGAACCGAGAGAGGAAACACGATATGGATCCAGTGAGCCTGCTTTCTCTGCTGCCTCTGATGGCTCTTGGAAGAACTCTGGGGATTCTGGTGGGAAACAATATGGGATCAGGTGGCTGGTCACCTGGCTGTACAGAGATCTCACTGGTGAAGGAATATCATTTACAGTCATTAACTACCCATATCTGCAATGTGTACCAAAGTTATATCATGCCCCATCATGCTACTGTCAAGTGTTCAACTGGATATGTGTATATAGAGTAGTTTTTAAAAACTAAACTAAAAATCAGAAGCATATCTCAAGAATTATTTTATTGTAAGTCTCCTCTATAAATGTTAAATTGATATGTGTTGCAATTTAGCTTGCTTTCAAGCTTCACCCCTTGCACTTAACATAAGCTATTTTTGGCATTGTGTTATCATCTGCTTATTTTATAGATCAATATTTTTATTTCCCCTTTTGTTGAGGAAATGAAGATAAGAAGAAGTATAAATATATACAAAATATATGAGTTATTAAAAGCGAAAGAATACTTTGTGGCTGTGCTGTTTGTGCCAATAGACCTCGCCATGACCAAAACTAGAAATGTAAATAGTTTTATAAAGTACATTAGAATCACCAGATACCTTTGAACTGCTCTTTTAATTCTTCTCTTGGACCAGCTCAGATTTACTTTGTGAGATAATTTGACACAGGTAATTAGTGAGATAACTTTGAGGTTGTGTAAGAAAGTTCTTTCTCAATACCCCTGTCTACCTTGCCAGATTCACAGATGGCAATATCTCCCATGCAAGATGCATCTTAAGGAGAAAAATTGGTGAAGAATATCATTTAACCATTCATGCTTCAAATTGCTCTGTCCTCCTGGACTGAGTTTCTGTAAATGCTGGATAGTTATTGGAGACATTCTTCCTGCTATTTGGAAGTTAGGAAATGATGCTTCTAACCCATGACTCACTTGAATACCTATACTATGTATGAGACTGCTTTCCTGTTTCCCAGAGATTGCAGTTTGAATGACAGAAATGAAGTGGTATCACTGGTGTCCTCAGTGAAAGCACTACAGTATGCATCATCTAGTGACATATTTCTTTCACTTAGGCTCTTGTCATCTGGGAGTCTCTCTTCACCACAGATGGTGGAGGCAGTTTGCAGCAAGATGGTGGGAGAAGAGGACCAGGAGGAGTTGGGGGGAAAGTTTGGAAGAAGCAGACTATTTTGCTTCTAATTTCAACAATATCATTTTTTCTATATTGAAGACATATTTTCAATAATTTTAAAACATGAATGATTAAAGTCCAATTTGACAAATATGTTTGTTTACTTTCTAGAAAAACTCAGAGTTTTCTGAAGCTATTCTTTTGGAAAGACAATTCTTCACACACCAGTCAGTCAATGATTTGGGGAAACCAGGTAAATAAATCTCACACTAGAGCACAAAGTCAGAAAGGCATAATCGAAAATAAAGACTGCTTGAGTTTATGGGATTTGTGTTTTTGGAGATTGAATGTGTGTTTATTTGTTTTCAAGGAGTGTGGTCTTTATAGCATTCATTCTTGTCAATGTTCTGCTTTTATTTACCTCTCCCCACTGAGCAAGCTTATGTGATTGTTCAGTATCAAGCAGCGACTATATAGCAATATATACTTCTTTATCTTGACTTACCTTTTATCTGTCTTCTCATTTAGGAAACTAACTACAGCTGTTACAAGGCTGGAGCAGCTGAGGTAGCATAAAGGACCCCTTTCAAACTCTGATTCTTGAGATCAAGTCAGAAAGATTTCAGACATGTCACTCAGAGTGTGTTAGAGGAGATAAGAAAGGTAAAGGCAAAACTCTCAAGAACCCAGAGGGTCCTCTCAGAGAGGAGAACACCAGTGTGCTTTTTTTCCTTCAGTTTTATTAAGGGTCTCAGGAAAGTTTTAGAGAGTTCTGCCCAGATTCACCTCTTGACTTTTGACTGACAGCAGGATGACATCAGATTTTCAAGCCCCCACTGCCATGACAACTCTAGGTCACGTTGGTCAGTGCTAACCCATTCTAATTGGGCCTGTTCTTACAGATTTTATGGATGGGGTAATTATCCTTATCTTCCTGAGTTTGGGAATTTGGACAGTGTAAGGGTCACAAAATTCTTCCCCCATCCCTCCTGCCACATCAGGGAAACTTGTGTTCTTAACATTAGTGTTTGGGCATGTTAGGCCTGCATATCTCCTGCAGATAGGAAGTCATTTGCTGAGAATATAACATGTCCTGTGAACTTAAGCCAGGCAGGGCCACAGGCAAATGGCTTTTTTTTTTTTTTAAAGTGAAAGCATGTGGGGGCAGCTCAGTGATTCCCTTTTCTAAAATTTTTTTCATGTTCCCACCATTCACATATATCTAGTCCATATCACTACTCAGATGTCCTAATTCAGATTAAAAGTGGACAAAATTAATCTCAGTAATTCTTTCCCCAACCTCCAGCCTTTTTTTTTTTACATCTTTCTCTAGTCCCTGTCTTATCCAATGAAAATCTTGAATTCATCCAAAAAGTTATATGATGCAATAGTTAAAATCAAAGGTTTTGCAATCAAACTGCCTGGGTTCGAGTAGTCTACAATTTCCCCATTGTTATTGAACCTTTTATGCAAATTGTTTTCCCTCTGTGTAACTGGAATAATGAAAATATCACTCCTCTAGACCTGCTCTATGATTTTAATGCGATAAGTTGTGTCAGACTGATCACAGCAGCTAGCATACAGGAAGGACTCGTTTTTCCTTTGTCAGTCTGCAGTTCACTCACCAGGTTGTCTGTTTCTTTGGTCAGTTTCCCTCATCTTTTGATGAGAGCTTCTTACGCAGAGCATCTACCCTTTATTATCCTTATTTGCAGGTTGCCTTTCTAACTCACCCATCTGAACATAGTTTGACTTTTCTAATGAACTTTGATGACTTTCCCTAGACCAAGACAAAGTCCTTCACATAAACTTGCTCTGACTTCCAGTTTCGTTTATAATTTCCTACCACTTCCTGTTACACTTGTCATACCAGTTGACACCTCTGGAACTTCCCACCTGCTTTTCCTTATCTGTCTTCCTTATCTCCTTCGAAGTCCAGTCATCTGGTAAGAGCCAAATCATTGTTAGTTCTCTATGAAGCTTCCTAGAATCCAAAAGCAGAGTAAATTTACTTTTGTGCTCCCAATAGCTATTTCTTTTAGAATCTCCTATAGCTTGTTATTTTTGTTGCCAAGTAAGAAACATTTCAGGAGCCAGCAAGGTACAGTGGAAATAGCAGGCAATTGAGACCTAGATAAGCAATTCACCAGGCTTTGTGCAGTTCAGCAAGGACAAGTCACTGAACTTCTTTGAGCCTGTTTTCTGGCCTGTGAAGTGGAAATCACTTCTACAAAGGGGCATTGTTATTCCTAAGGGGAGTAGGTAATAGGCCTATTCTGAAACCTGCTGGTTCACTCAACTTATAGCTCTATCCATAACTGTATCTTCTAAAAGAACCAGAATTGCATCTTATTGATCTTTAGTCCCTCCCCCTCCCTTCTTTTTGGCAAATGAAGTGCCAAGGCAAAGCATTACTAATGATTTTTGGAAATAACACATAATCATCTTCCTGGTTTTCAACCTTTGATTTATGAGGGATGCTTTCATTAATTTCATTGATCTCCGTGACAATGGCCATGAGCAGCATATCCATCTGGTTCTATTAATTCAGCTAAAAGCCTTGAAATTATCAACTGCAAAATGACATAAGAGTAATTTTGGAGATGAGTTAAGGATACACAGTAGTTGTCATGAAGGGTTTATTTGCTATATCCTGCTTATACTACTTGGATGTCCTAATTCAGATTCTTTGAAACTATGTAACTATAAGGATTCTAGATTACAAGCTCAAGAGAAAGGTTTTGCTTCCATGTTGGTCCTACTATGTTATCTTCACTTGTCAAACTAAATGGCTGGGTATCTTTTGTAGAGTATTGAAAATATAATTGTCCATGCGACATCAGGCCAACTGGAACATGGACTTTGTATGTTACATATCATGAAATTATGAAAAACTCTTGACTAGAATTCAAATAAAGTCAGTCTTATTTATTCATTAGCTGGGGCTTCCTTCAAAAACAAAAACAAAAAAAACCTAGATCATTCCCAGGTAGGACAGTGTACACCACAGATATAATAACGTGGCCTTTGAAATTCAGGCTAGCTTTACAGAATGCAATCTCAGCCACAAACCCCTGAATTCCCTATCTAGCAGAGTTGCACCCAAATTTGAGTAACTACATAGAGAAGGACATGCATGCGAATTTGGAATTAGAGTCCTAGGTTCAAACTCCGGCTCTACACTTGACAGCTATACAGACTTTACACAAGTTATATAATACTTATAAACCTGAATTTGTTTGGTTGCTTTGAAAGTAGAGATAACATTTGTGCCTCCCTTATCAAATTTCTGTGAGGAAGAAGTGTGACCCATGAAGTTCTTATCACAAGGCCTTGCACATAGAAAGTGCTTAATAATAAACAGTTATTGGGCCTCAAAATATTCTTAGTGCAAGAACGTTCCAGCTCCTAGAGAACAGAGTAGGATTCTGCTTCACTAATTTGTCATAATCAGCAGCAGAAAGAGTATTGTATTCACCAGCAAAGGATATAATTATATCCTGGTCCCAGGGTCTGTAATCTTATCTATTCCCAAATAAGCTTCCACGGGTTGATGGCAAGGAAAGAGCGACTAAAGCACACTTTCAGCCCTGAGATGAAATAATCACATCATGCTCGAGGATAATGTCTGAGAAATTACCTGCAACTGTCCTTCATCAACTGTCCATGTGCATGCTGAAGATGATGTTGGTTATTAAAGGTACTAAGTAAAATAGAATGGAAGTGTCTAAGGATATGGATTGGTGAATGGAAGGGTGCCCTGGAATGCGTGGTCTCCAAGGAATATATGATATATTAGAAAGGTAAGTAAGAGGTCACAGAGGTGAAGCTATGAAAGACACTGCAGAGCTAAGATCTTGAGACATGGCATGAAGGATGAACCCAAAGTCATCAGCCAGGGTGGCAGTTTTTGTGAGGGGCTTTCCTAGCCCATGCAACCCTAGGGAGCCTTTGCAATGAAACAGAAATGGCCTATCAAGTCTGTGATGTAGGGATATCCGTGTGTATCTCACTTCATCAGCAGCATACCCTGAGATCCAGAAAGAGCCTTAGGACCAGGGCAGCTTCTTCCCTCTGATTAAAGAAAGCAGCAGAGCAGGAAACCTTTTGCCTTGTTTGAACTCACAAACCACAGGAAAAGAGGACTGGCTGAGTGGCTCCCACAGGTCCATTTCATTATTCTCTTTATGGTCCTCTTAATTGTACAAGTGGGGAATGAGTTGAAATTTAGAGCTGCCCAGCTTAAAGGCCACTTCCCGAGAAGTGGCTTGGAAAACGAATAGTTCCCTAGGCAGCCGATACCCAGGGAACCTTCTGTAGATCTTAAGCAGAAAGTGTAGCTAGTGGAAAGTATATTTTCTATGACTCAGGTCCAGGACTAAATGATACAATTTTTTGTAGTACTGTGGGATTGTACCCAGGGCTACACACATGCTAGGCAAATGCTTTATCACTGTATGAATCCTAAGCTTTATTTTTTTTTTAACTTATTTTGAGACAGGGTCTCACTAAGTTGCTAAGGCTGGCCTCCAAGTTATGATTCTCCTATCCTGAGTGGTTGGGATTATAGGTGTAATAAAATCCACTGAACTCAAAGTACTATTTATTTTAAACGATATCTAGTGGCTACCCATATGGCCCCTTAAGAGCTAAGCTCAGGTGACCAGTTCATACAACAAAGTTTACCTTTCTTAGGAAGGATATCAGGAGAATATGGACTTGTTAGAATGAAGAACCAAATGGAAACCATTTTCTTTGAGTGATTGTGCCTCTGACCTCTAAGGAAAGCTCTGAGCATCCTACCTGTCCTTGTGAACTTGTCATATCCATCTCATCCCTCTCTTCTCAAAATACCCATTTCCTGCCACCTCACAATTGACTAACTATGAATCACAACAAAGGGATCTCCAGGTACTATGATTTATTTGTTCCCTCCAAAACTCATGTTGAAATTTAATTACCATTGTGGTGGTGTTGGAGGTGGATCCTTGATGAGAAAATTAGGTCATGAAGAAAGTTTACCTCCTGGGATGGGTCTACTCTCAAGTTGGTAAGTAAGTTCTGCTCAGGTGGCTCTAGATGAGTTACTGTGAGGGTAGATTGATATAAAGTGAGGCTGTGTTTTCTCTCTTCCACACGCACCTACTTGCAAGCTCTTCCAATGTCTACCATATTTACAAAATAGTACCTGGCCCTAACCAGATATGTTGCCTGATCATGGACTCAGCAGCTTCCATAACCATGAGTCTTAATAAACTTTTATTTTTTTAAATTACCAAGTATTAGGTATTCTAATGTAGCAACAAGAAAGGAACCAATACATCAGGGTTCTCACGTTCTCTCCCTGATGCCTGTTGCTACACTCCCATATCATTCTCCTTCATCTGTATGCTTATCTCTCTATTGCTCAGTGTCTTCTCTCACTTACTCTAACCTCTGATCCCCTCTCCACGCCTCAGACCTTTCCATTTTACCTTCTATGTCTGGATTATAGAGCTGTCATTGTCCTTCCCTAAATCCTTTTCTCTGAGACATGGTCAGCCCTTGAAGAAAATACTTCCCTTACAGCCTGTTAGGTACAGGACAGGCTGAATAAGTTGTCTGCAGGGCATGCCAAACAAAATTAGCTGCAGGGTGACCTGGCCACTCAAACCCTCTGTCTGGTTCTTTATCACCTGTTTGCTTCAAGCCCAAATGCCCAAGCCCCTGCTCAAGGCTGAACATTCAACCCACCATTCAATGCTGAACACTTAACCCCCCTTGTGCCAACAAGGCAGCTTGCAGACCCAGAGACCCCATTAGATTTGGGCTATAAAAACTCCCTCCTGCCGGGCCCCTCTCTCTCTTGCTCTCTTGCTCTTACTCTCTCTGTCTCTCTCTCTCTCTTGCTCTCGCTCTCCTTTTCCCTCTCTCCTCTCTCTCTCTCCTCTCTCTTCTCTCTTTGCTCTCCCCCTTCCTTTCTTCTCTCTTTCCTCACTCTCTCTTTTCTCCTCTGTTGCACTGCTGCAGTAAAGATCTCTTGGTCTCTCCGAGTGTTGTGGTCACTCTCCTTTCACAGCCCTCTCCAGTGGTTTCTTTACCCACAACCTGCATACCACGCCCTTCCAAACCTTGGAAGCTGCTCTAGTCTCTACTTTTTCTTATCATTTACTGAATATCTTAGCTCCTAACCAATGGTTTTTCCTATCTCTCCTCCTTCTCCATCCACCAACTTGGCCACTGACATAAAAAAAAAATCTCACTCCTCCCTGCCTGGACCTGGGGCTGTACTTCACACCTCATGCTACCCACACCTGCACCATCCCTAAGACTTCATTGCAAACATCCCATTCTGATAATCACTGCTCTTTCTAGGCCACTTCCCTTCAGCACTGTCCCTTTAAATTTTCTCAGACACTTCCCTAAGTATGTCTAAGCCATTGACTTTGCTAAGATTTCACTAGCTTTCATCCTATGGTGTCCTTTCTTCCTTCTTTGGCCAGCTTAGCTCCTGTGGTTCCTTATATCACTTATCCCACTCTAAATTTCCTTTCTCATATCCCCAGCACTGTAGTACCCATTTTGGAAAAAAAAATACATCCCAAGCTAAATTTGATTTCTGCTTATTCCTAACCTGCATCTAAGAAATTAAACGTGACTGAAGAAGACCATGTTGACTTTCTCACATTGCAATTATGTAACCACAACTGACATGGCTCACCACTGTCCAGAAACCTGTCTTCACAACTTCCCAGGTCAATTTCACACTTTTCCAACTTATAAAACCCTTCCCCCTCCTCATTCACAACGGGAAACTTTGCTTCTGCCTTCCCCGAATTTCTCCTGTGCATGCCACCTTTCCTCCGGCTACAGCTGCCTGTTGTAAACAGCACTACTCCTCTGCTTACATTCCAGAGCCCAACTCTCAAGCATATTGCACCATCAAATAAAAGCCTTTTCTCTTTTACATTATCAAGATTATTCTTTCTCTATTAGTTTTATCAACATATTCCCATGCTGTAATTTTTGAGAACCCTCTCATCATCCCAACTATGCCAGTTGCCCATTATTTCATTTTTCAAATGCCTTCTTTTTTTTAAATTTTTTTAAACTTTTTTTTGAGAGAGAGAGAGAGAATTTTATTTTATTATTTTTTTAGGGGAGAGAGAGAGAGAGAGAGAGAGAGAGAGAGAGAATTTTAATATTTATTGTTTTTTTAGTTTTTGGCGGACACAACATCTTTGTTGGTATGTGGTGCTGAGGATCGAACCCGGGCTGCACGCATGCCAGGCGAGCGCGCTACCGCTTGAGCTACATCCTCAGCCCTCAAATGCCTTCTTTACATTGCTTCCAGGACAGCACACTTTCCAGGTATTCTCCTACCTCACAGACATCCCCTCTTTCTGATGTCTCTTTATTGATGTGGGAGGCATCTTCATCTTCCATCTCTTTCTCAGCGGCCCTTGGTGCCCTAGTGGTTTCATACAGACTCATACTTTTTAATACTGTTTACAAACGGATTACTCTCAGATTCATATTTCAGCCCAACTTCTTGGACTCCAGCCTAGCAGAAACCCCTGCTATTTATGTGGATATCTAATTTGCAACTAAAATTCCAAAAGCAAATATGATTTTTATCCCAAATATGCCACTAACCTACTGTTCTACAACTTATTACACCTTCATTTATCCCATGGTTTAGATAAAAATAATCTAGACTTTTCTCTGGTTTCTCTCTCTCTCTTTCTCTTTTTCATACCACCATATCAATCCATCAGCAAATCTTGTTGGCTCTGCATTTATAATATATCTGTACTTACATCCTGACTTAATCCTTCTCAGATCATCTACTTCCTAGTCTAGGCTCCTTCAGGTCTTTCTGAATTTCTGTTATATCCTATGATAATTGGATCGTTTTTGATCTTCTCCCTATACTTCTATTTAGGATCTAAAGGAATAGTTATAATAATCAAATTCGGATGTATTGTTTCCTTGTTCAAATCTAACCATCTTTCCATTTGGAAATTCCCAAGATCTGGCTATGCTCTGCATCCTGCCTACTGCTCCAGTTTCATTTGCTGTTCCACTTTTTCTTGTCCCTTCTGTTTGATCTGCAACACACTCTGCTGTTCTCTGTATTATGCTCTTTCTACAAGCCATCTCTTACTCCAAGACCCTCACTTACCCATTGAAATAGTCTTCCTGGGATGCTGATATGCTGTTCCCTCACTTTATTCAGATCTATGAGTAAATGTCACCTCCTTCAAAAGGCATGCCCTGACCACCTTGTCGACAATAGCATCTCTTTTTCACCCCTTACCCTTTTAACCTACTTCCAGTTCTCATCACTTACTTCTATCTTACTCCTACAATAGAATATAGATTCAGAAGACTGGGGATGCTGAACTCATCACTGTGGTGTATACCTAGAATGGTTCTTAGAAGATTGAAGCACTCAATAAACATCTGTGGCATGAATCAATGAATGATTTTTTTAGGATTCAATGTCAAATTTGTGGTCCAGATGTTCAGGGATATTCTGAGTTGAATCTTTTATAGAAAATAATAAATGATTGCATGATACCTTAAGTTATTTCAGACTCCAGCAGTCACCCATAGGCTAAACAAATTTCAGAGATTTGGCTTCAGTGTATCTATTCACTGCAGAGATGCCAGTACCCCTGGTGGTTTTGTTTGTTGATGTGGATATTGATTGATGCCAGCAGTATGAGCCTCAAGCTCAGCATCCAAACCCCATAGGAAACATGTGTTAAAGCAAATCTTTTGCACTGCAGACAAACACACATACTGTTCTTTATATAAGTTGTAAAATGATTTCATCTCCCATAATATAATGGAAAATACCAAAATTCTCTTAAGCTGATTCATTAAGTGTACTTAGATACAATTAGACAAAATGAGAACATTGGAAGAAGCAGATTTGCTGTTTCACTGCTTAAAGCACACAGTAAAAATGGATTCATTCAAGTAATACCACTAATTTAAACACTATTATTTAAGAAAGCAAATGATATAAAGATATTTTGCTCTTATCACTTATTTTTAAATACAGATTTCTTAACTCTGAATTTTTGAAGATAAGGACCACACATTTTGTCTCCTACACAGAGGTATACAAAGGTGTTCAATAATTGTCTTTGGAGTGAAATAATAAACTGTTTTAAAATATAACTCAGAAATTAGAAATTCAGAATGGTGTTCCTAGAGCTTGCTTAGAGCCAATTTTGTAATATATTAACATTAAGGAAGAGATTATTGCATTTTGCAAATCTTCCTCTTATAAAAGAAATATTCTAATACTATTAGTTCTTTTTGCCTGTGTAAAATACTATTATTTGCATTATAAAATTTTATTTTGTATAATTGTTTTAGAGAGTATTTTGCCAACACTGATTTAAAAGTGTAAATGGAAGACAGATTATACTTGAGATGGTCTTGCAGGCAGTGTGGAGGGTTTATAATATGGATAGTGTGTGTACCTGCTTTTGAGTTGCAAACAATATGAGCCATTGGTTTAACTGAAAGAGTCCAGACAAGGTAAAATTAAGGACAATAATTGTCTTTAATTTTAACTCACTGATGAGGAAGTGAAAATTATCACTTCCATGGAGTGAAGCTTGAATCCTCTAAGTTGCCTTTTAGACTTCTTTTATGTTGGTTTTATTGAACAGGAAAAATGCGTCTTTAAAGAAAGAAATATTTGACATAAAGGGAATAGAAAATTTTAAAAGGGTATTTTATTCTTTTCCATGTTATCATGTGTCCCAGAAATGTAAATCTCTAGAGCACGTTTTCAGCAACATATTTAAATTGATCTAAATTGTTGAGCTGATGGAATTCAGTCTGATACCAAGACTGAAGACTTTCAAGGTAGGGTGGCTCTAGACAGGAGGTGACCAGAGGTGAAGGACCCTTTTGTGTGCTTGACTGTTTGCAAATGTCTTCCAGGCATGCCTTTCAAAACTCTTGCAGAAAAGGAAGATTACATGTACAAAAACCATCTTGGTGAATCTGTAATATGAGAAATCTCTACCTTGGCTATAACTAGGGCAGCTACTGAACAAATAAACTCATCCTTTTAGGTTCATTGTTCTATACATTGCTTCAAAAAAGTAATACCCAATAGCCCCACTTCTTGTACTTGCAAACATGGTCAAAATTACTAAATATTTGGTAATCTTTTATGGTACCTGGAACATACCATTAACTCCTTCTGACTCCATGTGCAATCATCCTGTGGAATATAATTTCCCTTCTTATTCTTGTGGTACCTATGTTTCAACACTTTTAGATTTATTTTTTAAGAAAGCAAGGATTTGTGAAGGAAAGTAGGACAGGAGATATTCCAGAGGTACTGAAAGGCTGTTGGTTTCTATTTTTTCTCAAATAATAAAAGAATAAGTATGATAACCCCAAAGAACAGGTATGTTATTCTTCCAGGCTTTGTAATAATTGATTTGTTAATAAAACATATTATTTATAGAAATAGAAGGGCCCCTCCTCAAAATTAAGACATTACCTAGTAAACTAAACAAGATCAGTGGCTTCCTTCTTCATCCAGCCACAAAATCACATTTTTTAATTCACCAAAGAGTTTGAGATATTAAAGTTAGCTACCATGTAGACACAGAGAAATCTCTTGGATAATATTTAAATGATTAGAATTTCTGATAATTAACCTAGGAAATTTAATCCTGCTCTTCTTATTCAGTGCTCCCAGAAGATGACCTGTTTTTCTCTTGCTGATTTTCTACTTTAAAGAAAATTTACTGAATTGCAGATATACAACTAGTATTAAATGACAGAAATGAAGTTATTTTTAGAAGACACCAATCTCAAACGAAAACACAGCATTCTATGGTTGTATTCATAGTACACACTCTTGACCCACGGTGAGAAATTAGTCCATTGCTCATTTCTTATTTATTCCCTGGTGCAATCAGACCACACGACAAGCTTCTTTCACCAGGGGTCAAAATGAAATGATGAGCGACCCTTCAGAATTACTGTCTGTACACAAAACCCATGGCAACAATCACAATAACCATTGTTAACAGGCAAACTCCAACAAAGTCTGGGTTTGGATTTGGTTTTATGTTAATAGAATCAGATTTCCTTCAGTTTTAATAATCCATATGAAACAGAAACACAATATATTGATCAGTAACCCCTATGAAGAGTCAAAAGAAGTCAAAGTTCTCCTCTAGTCCAAAGACAATATAAAGGAAAAATTAGAAATAAAAAAATGTGAGAAAGAACACAGAAATGACTTGAATGATTTCAAATCCCCATTAGACATCACCAAGACTGCATTCTATCCATCTGGCTGCTTGACTTCAGTTCTCACCTCTAAGACCTTGCAAAAAAAACTGGACCTGTATAGTTCTGACTTCCAGGGTTGACCTAAAACTGTAATAGCGTGTGTGAGAATGTGTGTGCATATGTGTGTGCTTTAAGTACATTTTATAAAAACGGACACAGGACAATTCTCACCATTGGTAATCGTCTTTGGAGTCCAATCATGCAGAATAACAGGCAGGTGCAAGTTAAATCGCATTGCAAGATGGACATGGCAAGGTGAACAGATAATGCTAGATAAGGGCTGGGAGATTTGTTTCTATTAGGATATACTGGCCATCAGTCCCACATAATCAAAAGGTAGATATACAGGAGTCCAAACATAAAGAGAAGTTTCCATTTGAATGACCAAAGAAATGGGTTGAAGTGAACAGTTAAACAACTAAGTGCAAAAAAAAAAAAAAAATGGAGGGGATGGGGGGAGAGAGGGGGAGTGGAGAGGGAGAGGGAGAAATCGTATATTGTAATCACAAGGAAAATAACTAATTTAACTATTTACATTGTAACATTTTTATTGTTTTTACATAAAGGAGTTTCCTAGTTGGTTTAATAATTTCTGTATAAAATGTTGAATTCTTACAATTAAAATGTGTGTGGAGGACTGATTGGAGAGGGGGACTACTCTTCAAACCCAAAGAGGAGGGGATAAAAATTCCTAGAGCAAATTTACTCCTCTGAGCTGCAGAAGACCTTTTTTCCAGCAAAACTAGTTGACAGCAGTCTTGTATAACATAATGTTTTTAAGATGTAGATTGTCATATGTTAAGAGAATTGAACAGATATAGATTTTTGTGTGTCTTAGGTTATACAATAAATATTTAAATTTTTAGACATCCATTTTATTGTTCTTTCCCCTGACAGGTCACAAAACTATTTATGTATTCTCATTTGTTGCATTGTGCCTTTTGCCAAGACTAATTTTCTAATTTGCCAGTCAGCTGTTATCAGTATCTTTAGATAATATTTTTTCTGAAAATGACAACAGATTGAGAGAAAGTGTCCAGCTTCTTGGCCAGCTTTATTAATTAAATAGCCTCCTCTAATTGGTGGAAATTGACCTGGGCCACTACAAAGCTCAGACGACATTAGATTCTTTCTTTTTTTTTTTTTTTTGATGGTGAAATCTTAGTTTCAGCTTTTATTTCACAATAAGAAATTTTGTTGTAAGGTTAATGTATCCCTTTGTAAAACTGAGCATACTGAGCCCCCAAACACATATAAAAATAGCAAAGACATGTCTAAATTGGTGGTGATTTAGTTAAACTCTCACAATTTAATTCTTTCTACAGATGGGTACCAGCCATCCCTTCTGCAGAACACTACATAATATTTTATTAAGAATTACTGTGAAACCAATTGCCTAGAGAGGAGACAGAAGGTTAGATGCCTCAGAGTACCAACTTCTTGTTCCAAAATGAGCCCCCACCATAAGCAGGATCTCCACTCTTTGTAGAAATATAGTTCAGGTGACTTGACACTTTCCTGCCCTAAAGGTAAGACCATCTATCTTTTTGGAATAACAGGTAAATACATAGCAAATATTTGGTGCTTTTTCTATTTTGAAGAAAAGAAAACAATGCAGAACATAATATATTCTGTGAATTGGACCATAACATAACTATCTTTTAAAGATATCATAAATAAGGGGACCTAAGACAGGAAGGAGTGGGGGCTTTTAAAGTGGTGATTCTCTTTGTTGTCCCATTTCCCCTCATCTATCTTGCTTTGGTCACCTAGTAAAATTAATCCCACAAGAAGTCCAGAGGCCAAAACCTTACCTCTATTTGTAAATGCTGCTTAAATCCAAGTTTCTTGGCAATAACAGATCTATCACTACAGGTAAACAGCACCAAGACCCATTAAAGGAACTGGAGATCAAAGACTAGTGGAGCTTAGGAAGGCTACAATAGCAAGGGTGGGGAAATGTCTAGCTCTTGCCAGATTTGGTCTGTGTGAATAAAAGAAACAAAATCCCATTGCTTGTGCAAAATGAAAGATAACCTTTCTGGGGCTGGGGCTGGGGCAGTAGCTGGGTCAGGAGCTGGGGCTCAATGGTAGAGCACTTGCCTAGTACATGCAAGGCCCTGGGTTCAATCCTCAGCACCACATAAAAAAGAAATAAAATAAAGGTATTGTATCCATATATATATATATATATAAAATAACCTTCCTATCAAGATCTTTGAGGATGCTGCTGGAGATCTCTCTGTGTGTCTGGGTCATCTGTGACTGATGAAATTTCCCTCCAGACTTGTGTCTTTCAAGAAGCTGTCTGCTCTCTGCACTTAATCCCATGTGTGTGTGGGTTGGGGGATGAGGCCACAGATATATCAAGGACAAAATACAGAGGATGATGAGAAGTAGAGAGTATGGATACAAATAAAGAAGTTTAAAAGAAAGGAATTCAACAGAAAGAAAAGCAACAGAGCTCATATGAAGGAGGGGGCGTTAAAAAAAAAAACCCAGGTCATCTGAAATATTAACCAAAAAGAATGGTAGCAAGATAGAGTGGACATTCTTATTCCAGGGGATAAGCTGCGCAATCTAATGATGTTCTCTCCATTTTAAACAAATTGTCCCTTACAAGGAATCCTAGTGTGTGAAGCAATCCCACAAAGGAAGCACAGCTTGAGTGGTGGTGGTGGTGGTGGTGGTGGTGGGTGCAGGTCCCTAGGGACTCTATTGCTTGAAAAGAGACAGCTTCTCTGTTAATGTATTAAGGCAGTTTGCAGAGTAATGTTATTCACCTTCGCTCTGTTTCTGTGGGGCTTCCATTTGCCAGTCATATCACACTCACCAACCATCCATTTCATGTGTTTCACTTCTTTTTCAGGTGAAATACCACCACATTGGTGAGCACCAAAATGGCCAGAGTGCAAATAACTGTGATGGTACTTCACCAAAGTGAAAAAAGAAGGGAAGCCTGTGCCTCATTCCTATTATTGCTGAGAAGTCACACGGGTATTGCCGAGTATATAACCAAGAGGTTTCACAGTGCCTCCATGGGTGCTCGGAAAAGCACTTTCATTTAATTGAAACTAAACTCAGATGATTTTGCTAAACATGGACATTAATGCTTCATGGCTTTCAGACAAACTCATATTGCTAACACCATTAGCCGCAGTAACTTGTGGCAGTTATTGCTCTCACATCTACTGCAGTACAAATTTCTGATTATCAGCCCTTCTTGGATTGTTCAAACTCATGAAAATAAATAAATAAACATGAAACATCAGTCATATAAAGGAGTCAGGGAAACTCCTGAGAAATAGCAATGTCTCTGGAGATGTTTTCAAATGCTAATCTAAGGATCACCCTGTGCTTTGGGGATTTTATTTTAACTAGTTAATTGTATTTTTCTCCCAGAAGAGGAAAGCAGTATTTCTTCTCAAAATAAAACCTTGGCAGGATATGAATCTGGGAAGCAGTCCACAAACAGAAAACTCAACCTACAATCTGAAAGAAGTCTAGGTGGGCTTGTGTTCTGCTAAGTAAGTCACAGGGAGGCAATTCCACTTTGTTTCTGGGAAGGATTGTTACCTTCCAAAGTGTACTCGATGACCCTGCCTCACCACCTGCCACTCTACAGCCTCCTGTCATGACATGTAATCTAGAAATGACAAATTGGGGGTCTACTCTTTAAAATATGGACAGTGGTGCCCCCTAGCACCTGGGCAATCATTTCCTTTCGGTTCTGGTCCACACCTCAGCCCTACTCTCTACTCTCTGCAACCTGTTTGTTGTCTGAGAAAAGGTCCTCAGCTTTTATTCACACATTCTTTCTAAAGGTCAAACCATTCAGAACCTGAAAACTGTTACCCCCTCCCCACACACACACTGTACATAAGCATCACATATGTTCTTTCTATAAATTGGTATACAGGTGCCATTTAATCAGTTTAAATTTGGAAGCTACATCTTCAAGGGTCCGAGAGCTCACTCCCCTCTTATATCCCCCTTTACATGGTTTCTTATAAGACATACAGCTTAATCAATTAACAAACTAAACAGCTTATATACTGGCAATATATTACAGATGAGTTGATGTCAGAGTAATAGATCACATGAAATGGACCATGTGGTACCCCAGTGCGTGATGTCTTGGGAGAGCCCTGAGGACACTGACAGTAGCATCTCTACATAGTGCTGTATGAGTACAGACACATGCGGATCTGTATCTACATCCATCTGACTAGGCCAAAAGGAGCAGGTAGATGCAAGATAGAGACACACACATGCTGGATGGGGCCACTGCACACCTTGTCATGCCATTTGAAAGGGCAGTTACGGGTTGCTGGTTTTGCAGCCATTTAAATTACACTTTATGTGAAAGGCTTCTCTAATTGTGTTTGATCTGCTTTCTGTAATAAGCATCATTGGAAGGAGACCAAAGCAAGAGCAACTAGAAGTTATATAGACATTTGAGCTTAGCTGCATTACAGAACTTTGGAGAAGCAGGCTGAAAGATTTGTTTCAATTTTAGGCTTGGATTCTCTCCCTTTCTGATTTCTTGACATTTTGTGTCTGCATTTGTGTGTGTGCATGAGTGTCTGTGTGTGTGTGTGTGTGTGTGTGTGTGTGTGTGTGTGTGTTCCATCACATCATCTCCTGAAGAACGCTGGGTTTCGCAGGCAGGCGGCTAGTCACCTGCAACAACCCAGGGGTCCCGCCGAGGCTTCCAGGCTGCTGTCAGTGTCAGATGCCAGGGTCTGGTCGGTGGACATGGAGGAGATGTCATTGACAGACGAGGATGGAGGGAGACTCTCACTGCTGTTCACTGCTGCACCTGTGCTAAGAAAATGAAGACCAACATGACTAAATCTGGAACCAAATCCATCTGAATTCCATTCATAATGCTTGGATGGCCAAATGTAAGACAGATGTCTAGTCCATCATTCATTCCATGAACCTTCATAGAAAAACAGATGCAGGGAAAATCATGATAAAACAATACACAGTCCCTAGGTACAAGTTATTCACAGGCTAGTGCAGTGGTTATTACATCTCATTCTATATTAGAAATCACCTGTAATGCTTTAAAAAAAAGAAACCTACACACTAACATCCACTCACACTGCCCTCCAATACCCTGTAACCCCAGTACCTCTAATATTGCAATGAATTGACGTTAGGTGAGGCCAAGGTTTTTCATTTTTAAATAGCTCCCTAAAGACAGGAAAGCCTGTCAGGCATTTTAAAACACTGGTTTATAGAGAGAACAGATAAACAAACCTGGGATTGAATCTCATCAGGGATTAAAAGACATTGGTTTATAAAGAAGACAGATGTTAGGGTTTAAAAAAACCCACTAGTTTATAGAGTAGACAAATTATCTCAATTGTTGGGTTTTATGTTTGTTTGTTTTTTGGATTAAGTTCAAGGGCACTTAACCAGTGAAGCCACATTCCCAGCCCTTTTGATTTTTTTTTTTTTTTATTTTGAGACAGGGTCTTGCTAAAGTCCTTAGAGTCTTGCTAATTTGCTTAGACTGGCCTTGAACTTGCAATCTCCTGCCTCAGCCTCCCAAGCCATGGGGAATACAGGCATGTGCCACCATACCAGGCCTGATTGCTTTTAATGCAGGAAACTATAAAAAAAAAAAAATACATGCAAGGGTCCTGTCCCATAAATATAGACAGAGGTGAAGTCTAGAAATCTGAATTGGTTGAAGATTACAACTCTAGCAAAAGGAATGTATATAGAGTAAATTTTACTACATAGTCAGTAATATGACATCTATTAGATTTAGATCTGAGATGTACCCTAAAATTCCATGTGTTAAAGACTTAATTCTGAATACAGCAATATTTAGAGGTGAGGATGCTGAAAAAAGGTGATCAGACCATGAGGACTCTGACCTCATCAGCAGATTAATAACCTGATGGCATTACTGGGAGGTAGTAGAAACTGTAGGGGGTAGGGCCTCATTGTAGGAATGGGTCTTTGGGGCATGCCCTTGAGGACTTTATCTGTACCTGGTCCTTCTCCCACACCTCTACTCTTTTTCTTGAACTGCTTTGTGCTGCCTTGAGGTGAACTGCTCTGTGCCACCAAGCCCTTCCACTCTGGTGTTCTGCCTCACCTCAGGTCCATGCTGACCACAGAGTGAAAACAATGAAGCCATGAAATAAAATAAACCTTTCCTCCTTTAAGTTGTTTGTGTCAGGTAATTGGGTCATAGAAACAAAAGCTGACTAACACAAAACCAAACTTAAAACCCATGTTGAAAAATGAAATAAAACTTTTGATGAAAGGTACACCCTTCCAAAAAAGAAAGAAAGAAAGAAAGAAAGAAAGAAAGAAAGAAAGAAAGAAAGAAAGAAAGAAAGAAAGAAAGAAAGAAAGAAGCTAGATATAGAGAGCACACATTTTGATGTATGTGTATACTCTGCAACAGGCTTGCTTACCTAAGGTCTGCAAATAGAGATTCTGCAAATAATGCTGAATTATGGACTTAGAGTAATTTGGAAAATTCTTTTATAAATTTGTCTGACACATAGTAATATAAAGATTTCTAAATTCTGAGGGGAAAAAAGTGTTCAGTCAAAACTTGCTGAGTTGCAATAGCAGTGAGAACAACAAAGGAAAATAAGCCAAAGGCACTATAAAATTAAATTAAACCATAGCACACTAGAAGCAGTCAACTAACTTTTTCTTTTTCTAGATTCTTTTTATCTAAGCAATATGAGTGGTAAAATGCATGCTTTGTGAAATAGTTTCCTATTAAAAATATCTCCCACATAATCATCTAATAAAACAAGAGGCGAGGAATTCTCACTAAAATTGTATTTGAGGATACATAATATGCAAGATCTTTTTGGTGAAAAATAATAAGTTCAAAATAAGTTAACAATAGCATTATCATGCTGACTGAACAAATCAGAAAAAAACTAAGGAAGTGGCACATACACAGAATCTTTTCTCCTGAAGTAAACATTTTTGCCTATGGGGAAAAAATGTGCTCAAATGTTACAGTATCTAGGAAGGACCTGGGTGCATACTCTAAGGCACATTGCACATTTCCTACATGTATTTCAAAGCTTTATTTGTTAATTCTGAATATTTATGTAAATATGGGAAATATAAAAATTAACAGGGAAAAAAGGTCAATCTCAAACTGAGGGTAAGAACTATTCAAATCTGTTGGTAAATTTCCTTCTAGTCCTTTCACTAGGAAGTTTCCCTAGTTGTAATATTTTATAGGTATTTCTTTGAATCCTAATATTTTCATACACTGAAAATACTTAGGTGTTTTTCATGATCTTTAAACTCCTAGAATCATCAATATCGCCTAATCTTAAATGTTTCTAGAAGAGATTTTTGATGTCTTGTTATCATCTTTCCATAAATAAGCACCCTCATTATCAAATTAATGTGTAATGTAAACTTATCTGGTCTCAATTTATTCCAAATTTACTTAATTAAATCCCTTATATAAATGGTTTGGAGCTAGTTCATTTCCTCTTATAATAAGATTTTATATAATACTTAGCCCTTACATAGCTCAAACAACTAACTATGCTTCTCCCCCTGTTCTGGATTAAATTAGACCATCATCTCTTGTGGATTTTCATATGGTCAAGTCTCTAATAATTTAATATCACTTTGAAGGACTTCACAGAATCCTATTCAATTTTCTCATGTCCTTATTAAACACAAGACTCTAATAAATGCCTGATCAATTGTGGACCTGACAGAGTGAGATTGCTTTTTTCTTACGTCCATTTGATGCCTGAATGATATATTCTTACATTATAGATGGTTTTCAAATCATGTTACTGCAGTTTAGATTTAGTTTTGATTTGAAATGTGAAATGATGCCTATATATCTTTATGTTGCCATTTTATTAAGATATAAGTCAAATATTTTATGAATTATAAATGTAATTTGCCCAATTCAATGTTTTTGGTACAGATATATACAGATATAACCACAATCTATTTTGTAGCACTTTTATCACCCCAATAGGAAACTCTGAACCCCATTTCTCACCCATCCTCCAGCCCAAGGCAATAACTAATCAATTTTTTGCCTTTATAAATTGCTTATTCTGTATATTTTACATAAACAGAAGGAAACAATATGAGACCAGTAGTGATTGTTTTTTTTTTCCACAAAGCACAGTATCTTTAAGTTTCATACTTGCTGTGGCATGTGTCACTATTTCATTACTTTCTATATCTGAATAATAGTCCATTGTATGGACATATTACATTTTGCTTATCTATTTATAGTTGATGGACATTTGATGAACATTTAAGTTGTATTAATTTTGACTATTATGAATAATGCTGTTATAAATATTTGTGTCCAATTTTGTATGAATGTTTTCATTTGTCTTAGGTATATACCAAGGAGTAAAATTGTTACATCACAGAGTAATTCTATGTTTAATTCTATTTGAGTCTATCATTTATGGGGAATGGCCAAACTGCTTTCAAAAGTGGGTGCACCAGTTTACATTCCCATCAGCAGTTTTAGAGATTCCATTTTCTCTACAACCTTACTATTACTTCTTTCTGTCTACCTTTTTGATTATATCCATTTCAGAGTGTGTGTAAAAATAGGTCTCACTGTGATTTTTGTTTTATAATGGTGATAAGTATCTTTTCATGTCCTTGTTGGTCACTTGATATCTGTTTTGATAGTTTGTTCAAATCATTTGCCCATTGTTTAATTAGGTCACTTTCTTTTTTATTGAGTTGTAAAAGTGTAAAAGTTCTTTATATAATCTGGTTAAAAGTTCCCTGTCAGATGTGATTTGCAACATTTTTGTCTTTTTATTTTCTTGAAAGTGTATTTGAACAATGAACATTTTTAATTTTGATGAAGTCAGATTTATCTATATTTTTTGTCACTTGTGCTTTATTTATTTATTTATTTATTTATGGGAGGAGTGGGAGTGGGTACCAAGGATTGAATTCAGGGACACTTGACCACTGAGCCACATTCTTGCCCAATTTTGTATTTTACTTAGAGACAGGGTCTCATTGGAGTTGCTTAGTACCTCGTTGTGGCTGAGGCTGGCTTTGAACTCAAGATCCTCCTGCTGCAGTCTCCTGATCTGCTGAGATTACAGGCATACTTTCGGTTTTATATCTATCTTTTACTAATCTAAGATAATGAAAATTCATTCCTGTTTTCATCTCAGACCTTTATAATTTTAGTTCTTATGCTTAATGATAATTATAATTTTAGTTTTATGGTTCATTTTGGAGTTTATTCTTGTATATGCTATGAGGTAAGAGTCCACTTTAATTCTTTTTGCAGGTAAATATTCAGCTGTCCTAGCACCATTTATTGAAAAGACTATTTTTGGCTCATAAAATGGTCTTGACATCCTTGTCAAAAATCAATTGATCATAAATGTGGGATTTCTGATCCAATTCTATTCCATTGACCTTTATGGGTATCTTCATGCAAGTAGCATACTGTCTAGAAAATTGTGGTTTTATTGTAAGTTTTAAAATCAGGAAATGTGAAACCTGAATCTTCCAAATGTACTCTCTTTAAGTATTCTGTTGGTTACTCTGTGTCCTTTGCATCATTTCCATTTGAGTTTTAAGATCTAATTTCTTAAAGAAAAAAAAGGACAGCTGTGGGTTTTTTAAATTGTGTTTAATCAATCTCTAAATCAATGTAGGAAATAGTCACCTTAAAAATTTAAGTATTTAAATTCATAAACAATGGTTTATTTTACCATTTATTTAGTCTTCTTTAATTAATTTATTTCAACAGTGTTTTATAATATTCAGAGTACAAAGTTTGCACTTCTTAAACTTATTTCTAAGGTTTTTATTTCTTTTTGGTGGAATAATAAATGGAGTAGTTTACTGTTCATTGCTAGTATGTAGAAATACAACAGATTTATTTTAATAAAAAGTTTTAATATCAATGGACTGAAAATTAAACATATCAAATAAGTATATATAAATAGATTTCATGATATATGTATACATATATATAATGAATATTATAGTTGATCAAAATGTCAATCAGGGAGATTTTTTTGTTACCATACTCTATTTGAATTATAATGAAATAACCACTTTGAATGCTTTCTCTTAAGATATTAGGCTTTTTTCTTTTTTCCTAGCTGGGGTTGATTTGTAGACATGTTACTGTCACAAGTTAAAGCTATGAAATTACTCAAACAAGGGTGAGATAAGGATTAGCTAAGTCTGCTTTATAAGAACACAATTTAATCTTTACAAGTAAACAGAAGTCCATATCAAGGACAGCTAAAGAAATCACACAAATAAGACTGAGGAAATTTCCTTAGCAAAACACAAATTTACATCTGTTAATAATACAGAACAAAGCCAAAGTACTTTTCAGGAAACTCTTCATAAAAAGGAGACCATGCTGTAGATTGTACTTATAAAACACACAATCTTACTGTGATTATTTTAATAATCAGCATGTTTTCAGCACACTTTTGGAATGCTCTGAGTTAACATTATGCCATATCACAGAAAACATTTGATAGTATTTTGTTAAACTGAGTATAAAATATTCTTGAATGTTTTGTGTGTGCCAACTCAGTAGGTTCTGTGCAGGAAAGAGTTCCTCTTTGTGTAGTGTCATGGTACCCTTTTGGTACACTATGTGCTGTGTGCTAGAGCTAGCTTTTAGTATCATTCTAAAACCAATCATTAGCATCTCTTTCCAACTCTACATTTACTGATGTTACATTGGGAGCCTGAAATTGTTCACAGAGTATATTAATACCACAGAAGTTAGTAAATGTTTCTAATCATTTCTTTCATAGGTTTTTGTGTGTTTGATTGTTTTTTAAAGAGATGGTTGTTAAATATTAACCAGTCCACACTGTCAGATGAAAAATTTTTGCTTTGGCATGACTTCTTGTATCACATTATAATATATGTCTATTTGAGGGCAGCCTCTCCTGGCTTTGAGATGACCCATTCAAGTTTATTTTTATGTAGGTAATAAACAAGCTTCGTAAATCATAAAACCATACAGAAATAAATAGGATGCAATGTGGAACTTGGATTCAGGTTAATTTACTGTCGGTCAGTTTGTAAAATTCTCTTAAACAGAATTGAACTGAATTGAATCTGATTATAATACATATTTGCCTCGGACATCCCAGCAATGGATAAATATCCTTTCTCTCAGTGCTACTCAGGAAGAGCCAGTACAGAGACACATTTTAAAAGATGTTTTGCCATAAATAAATCATTATACATTTTCATTGATAAAATGGTATCAAAAGGAACTAAAAACTACTAATTGGTTTGCAAATGAGGAATATTAGCTACTTTCAACTTTACTGTAAAAAATTAGGTTTTATGGAATGAGGTAACACTAATGAAAATTTCTTAGGTGGAAGTTATCTAACCTTAAGCATTCCTTATTTCAGGGGACAATGTTGTTTTGTTTTTTAAGGGAATTATTTTGTTAGCAACACCTCACACCCAATCTCTCTCTCTCTCTCTCTCTCTCTCTCTCTCTCTCTCTCTCTCTCTCTCTCTCTCTCTCACACACACACACACACACACACACACACACACAAATGTAGATACAGAGAATTAGAAGAAAAATTAGAAGGCAAAGATCACAAAGAGGAATTCTCTATTTGCATAATCTTCAGCCTCTCAACTTGTTTGAGCTTAAAACTCATAAATAAATAAATAAAGAGATAGATAGTTAGATAGATAAAATATATTCGACTGGTGACTCAAGCTGGTAGAGATGAACTCAGTGGCGGAGATTACTGCCCCCCCCCATCCCAGGGAGGAGGGATGTATATTAAAAACACCTGGGAAGCTTTATCTTTGATTTGGAGAGTTTGAAAATCTCTGTCCACTTAATGCTATGCATCCTTATCTTAGTGAGTCATTATAACTTGAAGAACTTTCCTTCCCTGGAAGAATAGAGGGAGGGAACAAATCACATTGTAGAATAAGTTGGTCTCCTATATTTGCTCTAGCTCTAACATTCTATGACAACCACTTTTAGAGGAAAATTAATTTCTATTCATAGATTACTATTCCCTCAGCAGTCTTTACAAATCAATTCAAGAAGCATGCAGCTATGCTAGTCTTGAAAATAAATCACTCTGCAAGTGAAATCAGATAGCAGAAAAACGAGTATAATTATTTATATAGGAATGCATCTGAAGTTTAGATATATTGATATACAGCAATTCCATCAATAAATTTGAAACCTATAAATTCTTCTGCAAATGCACATTGAACTTCCTATTTACATTTTTAAAGCGTCACTATAACATGGGTTTGGGTATTAAAACCATTTTGTCCCTGAGGAACTGCATTAATTTACTCTTTTGTGACAGTATTCCCAGTATCACCATAGAATATTTAGAAAGTTTATATTGTAAGATTACTTTATCCTAGCTATTTACAAAATTAAATCTAATATGCAAATGTTAATAAGGAAAGGTGTCTATAATGAAGAATGCAAAAAAAAATGTGACTTTTCAAAAGTTTCTTTTAGTAATTGCCTTTTCCTTCCAGAATAGTTTACCACATTCACACACACTGGTGTGTCAATAAACATTTAACAATTGGTTCTCCAGGAGAAAAAAACATGCCCTGATTTGTAAGGCAAATCCATGTTGTAAAAATCTCTCCTGGCTGGTTTCAAATACCAACATAAGGTTAATAAACTCACATTTGGGAAAAGATGTACACAATTGGTTCTCATGGGCTGATAGTTAGTTCTAGCATACAGCTAATGTGCAATGTCTATATGATGCAAATATATACAAACATATGTAAAGTCACCTGGGACAAGGTAGTTATGGGATGATTATTGGGAAATATGTTCTAGTCATTACAGGAATTCTTAAAGAAGAGTCTTTTTGCCTTAGCAAGTGGCATCTTAAGGCATCTTTGAGTTCTTTAATCAGATGCAAATAGAACATGCAGTAAAGTTAGAAATTGTTTTTGCAGATTTATATTAATCCAGGTGCTAGAATGAATGATTAGGTAGGGCAAAGTGGGGGACAACTCCAATGACTCCCTTTGCCCTCCCTGAGGAAAGGAGACGAGATCGAATTGGATATTGCCTCAAGGCTTCAGATGAGAACGCTATGAAATAGGTGCAAATTAGCTATTTAAAAAGGCATATGATGTAATTTATTAATTCATCTTATATCTTTTTACACCTGTTTGTTAAAGGTAGAACAACAAATCAGTTTTCCTCTAAATTAGTCATTTGCAGCCTACATCCTTGCTGGAATGTGCTGAGTGTAGTTTAAAGCTAAAAGCAAATGATCACATTTTCTAAAACTTTTATATTCAGAACACAGGCCTTAGGGAGAAAATAGATTCTTGTTAATAAGTGCAAGTAAATTATTTCAAGTAGTCTAAAAATACAATGCAAGGACCAGTTATATATATACACATATATATATGTATATATGTTATATCTAGCTAGATATGTTATATTGATATATATTTATACATAAAACATACATTAGGAGATAAACACACACACATATATATATAATAATGTATATTATATACATATGATTATATATATGATTATATAGATAGCAAACTAAAGGTTTTCCAAGCTGGCTTTAATTATAGCCCATTTTGTTAGATGCTTCAACTATTGTCTTACCAAGTTTGGGGAGAGTCCAAACATTGAGAATGAATGAGGAAAGAGGTCTTGACTGGTGGGATTCCTGACCTCTGCACTGAATTGGTTATCAAAAGAGCTTTCTGGCTCTGTTTCCTAGGAACATTTACCCTTGAACCAGTCCATGTTAACAAAAATTCTTCAGGATTCATTACTATCTTAAAATCAATATAATCCAGAATGAATATCACACCAAATATCAAAAGAAATTAAATTAAAATCATAGAGAAACAGTCCTGCAATATTTGCTCATATACTCTGTAAGCAATGCTATTGATTGCAACCCCTTCTTAGAACCAAAGAAAGCACCCAAGTACTGGTTAATTGGTTATTCACTGAGAGTGAGTACCTGAAGGAGAAGGTTGTCCTTTTACTACGCCATTTTTAGTCTTTTCTTCTGAACTCATCACTTCCTTGTAAATAAGTTCTGTAAGAAACATTTATTCATGTTATTACAGTATAAAAAACAAAATTTTCCTTAATCAGAGAAATTTATTAGTTAATTACAAATAACATTTTTGTGGGGTTGAACAAATTAGAAAAATTAATTGGGATCCCTTTACTATTATTTTTTGTGGGGGTGAGGGTTAGGCAATAGTTTGTTGTTGTACATGACAGTAGAATCTAGCTTGGCAGATTATATAGAGTATAACTTATTCTACTTAGACTGCTACTTTTGTGGTTGTACATGATGTAGAGTTACCTTGGTCATGTATATAAATACAAGGCTAGGAAAGTTATGACTGATTAATTCTCCTGTCTTTCCTATTCCCCTCCACCTCCACTTCCCTTTGTCTAATCCAATGGATTTCTATTATTCCCTTTCCAACTTCCCTTGTTTTGAGTTATCATCCACAAATCGGAGAGAACATTCGACCTTTGTTTTTTTTTTTTTTTTGGGGGGGGGGGATTAGCTTATTTCACTTAGCATGATATTCTCCAGTTCCATCAACTTACCAACAAATGCCATAATTTCACTCTTATTTGTGGCTGTTACTCCTCTATTTCTATATTTCTGGGCAAATGGCATAAAGCCTGGCAAAAAGTATGTACTCAAACCAGTTGATTCAATAAATATATGTAAAATACTCATGTTTTCTGACATCTTTGAGCGGGATTAGAGGGTACTCCTGATACATTCTACTGTTATCTATGAGCATTTTAATGGCTCTGTGTTTGAACACCTACTTTTCTTTTATATTTACACCTTAATAAATGCACAAATTCTCATAACATTAAATTATTACCAATCCTTACAACTTCTATCTTGTACTTCAAACTTTCTTCCAGACTCATATCATAGATTTGTAAATCTAAACATGTCTAAAATCCAACATACAAAAAAAAATTATTTTGTTCATTTCCAAACTGGCATCCATTTGGGGGTTTCTCATTGCTATAGTTAAATTTGGATATCTTCATTTCTTTTTTCTTTTGTACTAGAGATTGAATCTAGAGGTGCTTGACCACTGAGCCACATCCTAGTTCTTTTTATTTTTCTTTTGAGACACTATGTCGCTTAGGACCTTCTGAAGTTACTGAGGCTGGCCTCAAACTTGTGATCTTCCTGCCTCAGCCCCTGAGTCATTGGCATTACAGTCCTGCACCACCATACCTGGTTTCAATTTTTTCTCTCCTTTGCTAAAAATCATTCAGCCCTACTCATTCTTGGTAGTAATGCCATATAATTAGACAATCATCACCCTTTATGATTGTATTTCTTTCTCTAATATAGTCTATGTCCTCTTCAAATAATGTCTATATCCTATCACTTTGTTATTCATGAAACCCCAATAATGTCTTCCTGTTCTTACTTAGATTAAAGCAAACCTTTCCCATCTACTATCTGGTGTCATACTTACTGATTCACGTTATGTATAAGCTCATTTTTCCATATTCACCAACATGAACCCTTCACTAGTAGAATCTCTTAAGTCTCTTTATAACATTGTTGTTTATTTCTATTATTTGTTTTTCTATTATGTATCCCATTTAGTATTTTCCTTTTCCCATTTTATGTTTATTAATACCTTCGAAAAAGCTCAAAATTTCCTTCCCTTCAGATATCCCCTGTATGTTTTTCCCATTTTTATCTCATCTTTTGATATAATTTGCATTTGGTTTTTCTCATATTTATTCTGCTTTATAGTTATTCATATTAATTTAACAATTCTTTACATGTTTGCCGTGTTTTGTGGTTTCGTTTCAACCTCAGTATAATCTTGAAGATTCAGTATGATTTTTGAGAAGTTTTGCTTTAAAAAATTTTTAAAAAAATTTATTAAGTAGAAGTAAGCCACTGTTTTCTATTTAAACACTCATGTTCTATAAATATAGTGAATTAATTCATATGTTAACTATTTTTACTTTGTAAAGTCTAAAAACATCTAAAACTTAATAGTAATTCTATGTTTTATAAGATAATTATATATAAGACATGGAAAGTTTAACTTTGAAATTTTGAATTCTACCATGATAAACTCTTCAATAGTCAATACTATTTAAAAAGTTGTCAAAATTAATTAATTATTAAGCAAATGTGATATTGCTATTAAGATGAAAAAATGGATGAAGTTTTAGGAACTCTGGGTGGTCTAAGATAGCAGTGTAAAAATCCTCTTTTACCAAACTGCTTTACAAGAAAAAATCTTGATATTTTTTGATATCAAAAATATAAAAAATATTAGTATAAGACTTAGGAAGGATCAGCTGCTTTCTTTATTCTGTTTCACTAAAACAAAGAAATACCCATTCAGCAGTACTAGAATCACCTTTCCATTCTTCAATGGTGTGCTCTCTTTCATCCAGCTGTTTGTCATATATCTGAGGTGGAGGCTGCAGAATAAAAACAAAGAATAAATTTTGAAAAATCATGCAAACATAACTAAAGTCTTACATGTAGGACAATATCTTGTTATTCACCGATTTTGGTGGTGATCTCAATATAATTTAAGCTATGGGATATGTACCATAGTTCAGAAGTTAAAATCTTCCAAAACTTATGGAAGATTTACTTTTCTTAAAATATTTGCTGCTGATTAAATAAGGCAATGGAACCCAAATCCTGAAACTCACTTCCCAACATTTTCTGATTCAGAATCCACCCCTCAGCAACTAATGGCTGAATATATATAAAACAACTAAAACATTTGATTTAAAGGACCCATTAATTGCTATTTCCTCTCCTATAACAGACCCCTGCTAAAACTCTCCCAGAATGATATGATCTTACTCCATTTTTAGATTTTCTCTGAAGAAAGGCTTATAATGTCTCTAAATAGACCATGGTTCTGGTCCCCAATATAAAGAAATATCTAGATTAAATTAACTATTGTTCTTGGAATATAAGATACCTTTGTATGTAGCTGTTTGCCCCATTTTTACATGGTTTTAATATCTCCTCACTTAGGCATAGAAAGCTGCAAGTCGGTCCCTGAGTGGTCCCTGTGTTAGTTATCTCTGGGAGGAATGATGTGACAGAGCCTCAGTCTAACTTATAAAGTCATCTAGCTCCTCTTTCTATATGGAGTTCAGATATAAAAAAGGAGAGACTTTCATAAACCTACATGCCTTCAAGAAAGGAGGTTATCAAACTCCCAAATCTCTTTTTCCTAATATTCGACTTAGAGAGATCTAACATGGTAGACCAACAGACATAGAAAGAAAAACAAAATCTCTTGGAAAAGCATGTCACTCTGAGGTAGAGAAAGATGGGCCAGAAGATCTGCACCAGCTGACATTGGAATGCCTGCAGAAAAGAGCTATAAAATTCTGGCACATGAGATGGGTGTTGAGAGTCACAGCCGAAGGGGCCCCAGCAAACATCCAGCTGCCAGCAAACTTCCGGCTGATGATTGGCTCACAGCGGCCTCAGCAACATCTAGCTGATTGGCTCCTCTGTGGTGATGCTCATTGGAGATGCTCATTGAGCTGTTTCCCCGCCCTTTCAGACTGCCAGCTGATGATTGGCTCACAGCGGCCCCAGCAACATCTAGCTGATTGGCTCCTCTGCGGTGATGCTCATTGGGCTGTTTCCCTGCCCTTTCAGACCACGGAGCTGCTCATTGGGGGACTTTTTGGCTCCACCCACGCGACCCAGCCAATCGGCCTCAAGAGCAGGAGGATTGTGGGAGTGGGAGAGGCTTGTGGGAAGCCGGTGGTGGCAGTTGGGCTCTGAGGGTTTTTCCTGAGGAGCTGTTTTGTTTGGCCTGTGTGGTTCTAAAAATAAAGTTTGTTTCTTTTGACAAGTGGCTCCTGAATTGTGCCCAGCCAGACTGTAGCAATGAGGAGCCTAGAATTCATCCTTGTTCAACATTCCAAAAGCAATAAGTTTTACAAGAAACTGAGAGTTACTTAATAAAAGTGACTCACACTTGTTAGAAAATGAACCCCTCTAAAATGGCTATTGTAAAAAAAAAAAAGGCTTTGGATTAGACTTTTAGAGACACCCTCTGGCTTCTGTGAAAGGTTCTCTAGCTCATGAACAGCACCCAGTGCCATAGTATCCCCTCTTTACTGCATTCAGAATCTCAGGTAGCACGACTAATGATAGAACCCAAATGTTCATCATAGCTCTGGCAGACTGGGGCAGCTCACATCCTGAAGATGTAGCTGGACATGAAACTAGAAGACTATGACCAATTGTGGTGAGGTAAGTTGCATAACTGAGTTATTGAGAAATAACTACTGATGGAGCAAACATTCCTTTAGCACCAGTGCTAGCTACAGGGGCAGAAGACTTTAAGTACTATTGAAGTTGAGATGTGACTAGCTGAACAGTGCTACTCAGCAGTCATCAGCACACTGACAAAAAAACAAAAGAAGACCTTTGTCCTTCTCCACAGCACTATTGAGAACACACAAATTGACCATAAGGGATCTGGAGTTGTCAGGTGTTGCGCATAGGACTTCATTGAGGTAGGTCCTTCTACCTCAAACTATAAAGGACTCTCAAATTACAGGAATAGGATGATTTAATGAGTAAATAAGTAAAACAAAGATATTTTTGAAATGTTGTGAAACTTTTATCTAAGTCAGCTGATGCAAAGCCAGACTCTGTTTTTGGAGAGATGCTTTGCCAAGTGGCAGGTTTCCTGCTGTACCTCTTCCTAAGAATGTGTAATGCTGTGGTGAGGTCCCCATCCTGGCTTTGTCCAGGATCCCTGTGGGACAGTTTGTACAAGCTTTCAGACCCGCAGAGCTCTGTGCTTTGTTGGCACCTCTCTCCTAACAATAGATCAGGCTCTGGATCCTGTATAACTGGCTTCCTCATGCAGTATATTTTTCCATTGAAGTTTCAAAATTAAACATGGCTCAAGAGTACAGTTCCTGCCAAAGTTCATCAATGTCATTTTCTGCTTGCAGAAAAAAGCTATTTTGAGGAGGTTTTTCTTGGAGCGTCAGCGAACAGCTGTTGCTGATGTATAAAGCATGAGACTCTAACCACGATCAAACTACACAGAGAGAAAGAAAACCACTGAATCCAAGACTTCTCCTTTCAATAAATCAAGAGGAATGTTTTAAACATACTTGTGATTATAGTTATATTCAAGGCACTCTGTACAAGAGAGATAAGTTCAGATTTGGGGTTTTTTTTTCTCCTTTTTTGTGTGTTCTGTTTTAAAGAAAGGAGCAAATATCACCTAAGTGGAAGGGTATTTTCACACAAAGATGTCTTCTATACAACAATATAAAAAAATAGTTGACAGATAATTCAAAGAGAGCAATGCCATCACACACACACACACACACACACACACACACACACACACACACACACACATTTATGTGCTTGGCTAGCAATCATTAGCATGTGACCGTACATAACACTCTCTGACCATCTGGTAAAGAAAATCTGGTGTTTGATTACTCAGCTGTTTTCTCTCTCCACTCTATTACATAGAATGGAATCTTTTGCTTGATAAACAACCTAAATAAAAAAGAAATAAGAAGCAGAAATGAAGAGAGATGGGGAGTATCTGGAGAGTTATTAGGGTTTGTGATCTTTATCACTTTTAATATCATTTAAGAGACAGAAACAATTTTTGTGATATTTTGAAGATTGAGATTTTATTTCCTTGGTTAAAATTCTTGGAGAAATTGAACCTTATCTCATATGGAAGGCATAAATGATAATTTAGTACAGATTTTATATATTTATCTTGACATAATTTTATAAATGTGTTCAATTAAATGAACAAATACATGGTCAATGTGAGTTAGGAAATTTTAGAATTAATTTACTCATATATTAAATTCATTCGTTAATAGTCTTGTATACCTATAACATATTCCAGACTACATTAGAAATTGATATTTCAAAGATAAATAATTTGACTACTAAACTCAAGGAGTTCATAATTTATAACAACAAAGATCCCAAATAAACAACTTACCATTGTACCTCAAGAAATTGGAGCAAGAAGAACAAACTAGATTTGATGTTTGTAAATGAAAGGAACTAATAAAGGCCAGAGCAGAAATAAATGCAATAGAGATGAAAAAGAAAAACAATGAAACCAAGAATTAATTTTTGAAAAGATAAACAAAACTGACCAACCTGCAGCTAAATAAAGGAAGAAAGAAAGAGGGATTAATTTGAATACATAAAGTACTAGAAACACAAAGGACCCTAAGAGACTACTATCAACAATCACATCACAACAGATCAGCTAACCTAGAAGAAATTAATAGGGCCTTAGACACATATAACCTATCAAGATCGAGTCACAAAGAAATGGAAAACCTAAACAGATCAATAACAAGAAAAGAGATTGAGTTAATAATTTAAAAGTCTCCTGTCAACAAAAAGTCTAGCACTAGATGGCTTCACAGTTCAATTCTTCCAAATATTTCAAGAATTATTATGAATTTTTCTCAAATGCTTCCAAAAACTTGAATAAAATGAAACATGTTCAAAACATTTTATGAGGCCAGCATTACTCGGATACCAAAGCCAGACAAGGACACTACAAGAATTCAGGTGAATTTTCCTGATGTAGATAGATGCTACAGTTCTCAATGAAATGCTGGCACACCAAATTCAACAACACATATCAAAGGGATGATTCACCCAAATCAAGAAGAGTCTATCCTAGGAATGCAAGGATAGTTCTGCATATGCAAATCAATAAATGTAACACACCACATTAAGAGAATGAAGGGCAAAATCAGGCAAATATTAAACAGAGACAGAGAAAATATTCAACAAAATCCAGCATCTTTCATGATAAAAATGTTCAACAAATGCTCTTGAAAACAATAAAAGGCCACAGACGACAAACCCACTAAAGCCATACTCAAAGATAAATAGTGAAAAGCTTTTCCTCTGAGATCAGGAACAAGACAAGGATGCCTACTCTTGGCATTTCTCTTCAGCATAGTGCTGGAGCAATAAGGGCCATATTAAGGAATAAAAGGTACCCAAATTGGGAAGGAAGAAGTTAAATTGTCCCTCTGTGAAGACAACACAATTTTATATATTGAAAACTCTAAACAATCCACCAAACACTGATAGAATTGCTAAACAACTCAGTACAGTGGCAGAATATAAGATCAACATACAAAACTAAGTAGTATTTCTATGCACTAACAATGATCTATCCTAAAACAGATAAGATTTAGAAAACTATCCCACTTAAAATAGTTGCAAAAATAATATAATATTTGAGAATATATTTAACCAAGGCAGTGAAAGACCTATCCACTGAAAACTATAAATCATTAGTGAAATTAACTGAAGAAGACATAAATACAGTCAGATATTGAATAAGGATAACTTGGTGAATCACAGACCACATATACAACAATGGTCCTATAAGATAATAACAAAACTG